ATTATTTAAATATTCTGCTTATTGCATTCAAACTTCGATATTTTGATGGTATCGGTGGCTTCAACTATCGAAAGTTTTACTCTAGCAAATTGAGATGAGAATTGTCAGTGCTTTTTGATCGTGGCTCATCGCTGCACGGCATTAACACGAGTGCCGTGTTCCAAGTTTGTGCGTGACCGTATTGACTCAAATGTTAATTTAAAATTAGGATATACCCTTATAATTATTCCCCTTTTTTGCACATAGTCTATCTTAAAACGTTGCGTTATCTCTATATATAAAACAGTTTGTCCTGACTAATTGGTGATCAATGCACAGCCCAAACGGTAAAAGATGAAATTCGGACTCAAGTATCCTTTCATAGTATCCATCATAGTGTAGGAGCACACTAAGAAAGGCTTTTGGAAAATTCGAGCTCCAAAGGGGGGAAAACGAGCTTTAAAAAATATTAGTTATAGTGGTCATGTTCGTTTAACGAAATAGTTTGGCAAGAACAAAAATGTAACGGACTACTGAACAATTTTTTTTCAAGAACAGAAAATGTTCATTTAAATACCTTAAATGCCTTCCTACTGGTAACTTATAAGGTGAAAACATATGGGTAGGTTATGCACACACAAAATAAATACAATTGGAAACATTATATTGAGCCGGGTTAAGACGGGGAATACCTGCTAGTACAAGTATATATGTATACTTTGTGGGGTCTGCCACGCCTCCTTCTGTCTGTTACCTACATTCGCACAAAACTAGTATAGCCTTTTATCCTTTGGTTTCAGGCTATAATAGGTGTTAAAAATAAAGGCTGAGGATAAAAGACTTTATTTTATGTTTTTATGTTCAATAAAACTTCTCTTAATTATTTCTTAATTGCGCACAGCTTGCCGGTCTATTCACATTGAGTAACCGAAAACGACTATATTGCAATAAGAGAAAACTATACATAAGTAAAAAGGAATAGGTGGAGAGTTAACGGTTAATGCATTTATCATTGTTGCTTTTGCCTTCGTATATAATTTACATTATCTGGCAACAACACAATGCGACAACACCACAGTGGCCAGATAGATAGTATTTGGTGAACGTAAAAGTGTATTCTCAATACATTTCAAACTTATTCGGCAAGCTAATGCATTCTGGGGAGATACAATTCTATGGTCCAACATTTGTTGCTAGGATTGAGGAAATCCCAGAAAAACCCAATAAGCCCATTACATATATAAAACAAGTAAAAAAGCTAAAGTCGGGTGTCCCGACTTTGAAATACTCTGTACATATGCTTACAATAATTATAGAAAATAAAAAAATTAAGAAAATAAAAAAAAAAATTTGATCGATTTTACCTCTCTCGGTATTCGAACTCACGTAAAGGGTGTATAATTGCACATTTACATAGCAATTGCGTCTGTGTGAGTGTATGTATGCCTATGCGCATCTATTCGTGTCTGTGTAAGCATTTTCGCAGTCAACCAAACAGCAACATCAACAACAGCCGCGGGCAGCGCTGCAACAGCAAATATATTTATGGCTATAACTTCTTGTTAAATCGGTTTATCATAGTGAAACTTGGCATACGGACACATAATAACCAAAATTTTAGTTCAAAATTCGAGGGGGGAGGGAGGGAAATTCCAAAATATACATTTTCTGCGTATTCACATAAGGCAGCTGGGACTAAAATTTGGTGTTCCTAGGTCTTATAGTCTCCGAGATATAGGCGATTATACGAATGGAAAATCGGGAAAACCCCATAGGGTGGAAGTGGGGGGGGGGGAATCAAAAAAAATAAAACAAACTCGTATAGAATACACACATAACGCATCTTTGTGCAAAATTTGGTGTCTCCATCTCTTATAGTCTCTGAGATCCAGGTGTTCATACGGACGGACAGACGGACAGACAGACAGACAGACAGGGCTAGATCGACTCGTCTCATCATGATCAAGAATATATATACTTTGTGGGGTCTGCCACGCCTCCTTCTGCCTGTTACATTTTTCAGCTCCCGCAAACCTAATATACATCTGTACATTTCATGTACAGAGTATAATAAACGAAAAGTCGTAGATTCAATATAAAATTCGCTTCATCAATTTAGTCGTCATCAGTAAGACCCATCTGAGCTTTAAGTTCAGGAATCTAACTGCAGGCAGGGGGTTCGTCATCATATCAGCCAGCTGGTTGTCTGTGAGAATATACTCAACAATAATTAATTTATTTGCAATTTGTTCTCTGGAGAAATGGTATTTGATATCAATATGTTTTGATCGTTTGTGGCATGTTGGGTTATTAGCTATAATTATACATCCTTGATTATCCTCAAGAATTTTAATTGGTTCGTTTTGGGTATAAAAATGCAACTTTTAGTGGTGACGTGTTGAAATTCTAAGATAGAGTCAAAACATATCTACAAGGTGCTTTTTTTTCAGTTTATTTCTTTATTATAAGTGGCCAGCAGCACTTATGTTCCATATTCCACATATATAACGCTTACAAATGACGTGGATGGACGTGAACATATGTTTGTAACAATTTGAGAAAAAAAATTGCAAATACATTTTAACTTTGATTTATTATTTTATTAGAATTTTTCCTCGTTTTATTAGTATATTAATTATTAATTATTATTAATTTTGATAATGTTATTGTATTGGAACAAATCATACTGGAATGCTATATCGAATCGACTTGTCACCCTGATCAAATATATATATATACAAAGCGCGTTCCAAAATAAACAGGACTTTTTGAATCAAGCGCTCCCTGGTGGCGCTATCTATATGTCGACTGGTGCGTTAGAATCTGCTATCTTTATCGATTGTCCAGTGATTTTCATGACATTACATCGATTGGAAGTGAAGTTATTGCGTTTAAAGCGTCAGTATGTTTGTGTTATCGGTGCGAAAATGAGCTTCGAACGAAGAGCCAACATTAAATTTTGTTTTAAAATTGGTAAAACTTTTACCGAAACGTTTCAATTGATGGAACAAGTTTATGGCGATGATTACCTATCCCGTAGCAGAGTGCACGAGTGGTTTCAACGTTTCCAAAGTGGTCGTGATCAAAAATCAATCAAAATTCGTGATCACCGACAATTCCATCGAAACTGTGCGTGAATTCATCAAAAATCAGCCAAAATCATCATTGAAATTGATGGAAATGGAATTGAACATCTCCAAAACATCGATTTATCGCATTTTGATCGAACATTTGGGCTTACGAAAGGTGTATGCACGGTTTGTTCCGGACAAATTGACTGACGACCAAAAATTGATCAGACGATCGACGCTTGTGACCGATTATTTGACCAAAAATCACATTTTAACCATTAACCACTCGCCGTATTCACCTGATATGGCACCGTGCGACTTCTACCTTTTCGGAAAAATGCATTTGCCCATGAAAGGAAAGCGTTATGCAGACGTAGAGACCATTCAAAAGGCTTGCACCGACATACTGGCGGCCATACCGGCCAACGAGCTAAAACACTCGTTCGACATGCTGGATCGTGCAAAAAGCTGTATTGAAGCAGAAGGAGACTATTTTGAATAAAAATAAATTGATTTTGCCGTAAAAGAATTTTTTCTTTTTTTTTCTTTTTTTAAATCCTGTTTACTTTGGAATACTCATTGTAGTCTAGTTTTGACTTAAAAAGCAGCCAGTTGTGTATAATAAGCAGTGAATAGTATTTTTAAATGTAATTCACGGTTATTATTTCAAAAACTTAAAAAGTTGATTTTTTATGAAATACAAAATACATATTGCAAAATGTAATAATAAAATAATAACTTAATATATTTTTTTATTAATTTTTTAATTTAAAAATTTTTTGTAAATGTATCATTAAATGTTTTAACTATATGTTAAAAACTTGGCAGTTTTATTAGGCAAATATTGCACCGGCAACAAAATTCAACTTTGAGCTCATATTTTGCAGCTTCTAAATATCATAGCCCAATTTGCAATGAATTTCTCTTTCCAACTAAATTTGTTTGATGAAAATATCTTTATCCGTTCAAGAGATATAATTTTTGCAACGAAAAAAGTCAGAAGGCCCCACCGTGCGCCGTCCGTATAATCACCTATGACTAAGACCTAAAGATGTGAAATACTCTACACAGTTTAAATATATTTCAAAATTTTACTTCTTCCCCTACTCCCCCGCAATTAATGATTTTCCGTACCTCCCGTAATTTTTGACATTTTTCAATCAAATTTATTTATTTATTTATTTTTCAATCAAATTTGGAAAATGCTTTCATTTAGTGATCCGTATCCGTGTGCCATCATCGTGATAGGCCAATTCTAAAGGAAGCTATAGCCATAAATATAATCCTTGCGTAAGCGCTGTCCGCAGCTGTAGTTGCTGCTTTGGCTAAACACTGTACTGCACACACTCACAACTATAGGCGCAATTCCGTTGTAAATTAATGCTATTTTCAACACGTTCCTACCTTACCAATTAAATTTCAAACTCTCCAAAATACGCTTCTTTTCTGCTATAACGTATTCATTAAATCTGAGATTATGTCTACCAAGCGACCTTTTTAAGTTAGTAAATAGAAAAAGTCGCTAGATTCCAGGTCGCCTTACCGCGATAATTAAAGATGAACTTAGTGCGTAATCCTTATGGATGAGCACTATAAGTAATTGCGACACCTATAGCGCTGGCACTTTCATCACACATGTGTATCTTATCAATTAAAATCTTGATTCCGTATGGCCTCAGATACTTTGTGCATACTACGTGCAAATTTTATCGAGATAGCTCTAAATAGTGGGAGTAGTCGTGATTGAAACAGACAATGTAGATTGCGCTCATATATGTACCTTTGAAATATGGTTTCCCATTCTTCCATCTGAGTTTAAGAAACAGACACACCAAAAAAAAACCTTTAACTTTTTTCAGTTTCACAAAATATATGCATACAATGCAACCGTACCGGCTTTAGATTAAATTATATCTAAAATGCTTAAAATATGCTTATCTTTATATCTAGGATCAATTTGGAATAAAACAAATAAACGTGTCTGAAGATCCACTCAGAATAGTTGAAAATCATTTCTGCCTGCCACATGAGAAAGTTGATCTCCTACGTGCCCCAGTAAACTTTCCCGATGCCGAGTATAGCTACACATTATGTGAGATGACAATAACATGGCACCTATTTGGAGGAAAGGATTTTCCTGATAAGCCCGAATCGCAGGAGAATTCGAGGTAAGTTTTTCAATTGTTCTCCTTTAAGAATAAAACAAACAATTTTAAATTATCTGTAAATATTGATATTAAATATAAAACGCAAATACTAAACCTTACATTTTTAGACCTTCAGCTGTAATGTCGGAAACATATAAATATGGTGTATCTCAGGGTCACGAAGGTTCTGCAAAGAATTATGAACCAAATATTTCGCACGGGTTTGAATCATTTGGAAGAAATACCAAAGTACTTGTGGAAATTCAATTAACGAAAATTCGTTTTTCGCACGAAATATATCCGCAAACGTCGATATATTCATCCCGACAAGTGCTACTCGTATCAGATATAGAAATTCGTGACCGTTTGCAATCTTCAGATATCAACAAGCTACTTTACCGTGGCAATAATAAAAACATAACTGGGAAAAATGAAGATTCTATGGTAATTATTAAAGCACTGCATGTACGGCCAGACCCTCAAATCAGTAGGATTGAAGAATGTTCTCTGAGAGTTTCCATTACACCAATAAAACTAAATATTGATCAAGATACTTTGTTATTTATTGAGGAATTTTTTGCCGCTCTCTTGGAAATTTCGGCGGTTAACTCTTGTCCAAATGATTCCAAATTGCAATCAAATATATTGGGACATGATACACCGGTTATGTCAGTCAATCAAGTTTCTGAAACTACAGATGAAATGGAGATTAAAAATATGGAAGAAAAACTAGAAACATTACTAAATGATACTATGTCAGCTAGGGCAGAAACGGATGGAAATACCAATAAACTCCCAATATACTTCCGGGAGGTCATTTTCAGTCCGGCAGTACCAATATGCTTAGACTATCATGGCCGTCGAATAGAACTATCACGTGGCCCAATAACAGGCCTTTTAATGGGACTTGCTCAGCTACAAGGCTCAGGAATATGTCTGCGCGAAATTATAAACCGGTAAGTATATGAATATTTTATACACGAAAGCATATACTTAGCACGCTAAAAACAAGTAAAAATTGTAAAAAAGTAAATTGCACATTTACATAGCAATTGCGTGAGTGTATGTATATCTATGCGCGTGCAAGCATGTTTGCAGTCAACCAAAGCACCAGTATCAACAACAGCTGCAGGCAGCGCTTGGGCAGCGCTTGAGCAGCGCTGCAGCAGCAAATATATTTATGGCTATAACTTCTTGTTAAATCGGTCTATCATAGTGAAACTTGGCATACGGACACATAATAATGTACATCTGTACATGAAATGTACAAGAGTATATTAGGTTTGCGAGAGCTGAAAAATGTAACAGGCAGAAGGAGGCGTGGCAGACCCCACAAAGTATATATACTTGTATTCTTGATTAGCGCGACAAGACGAGTCGGTCTAGCCCTGTCTGTCCGTCCGTATGAACACCTGGATCTTATTTGGTCAAATAATCGGTCACAAGCGTCGATCGTCTGAGCAATTTTTGGTCGTTGAAACCATTCGTGCACTCTGCTACGGGATACGCAATCATCGCCATAAACTTGTTCCATCAATTGAAACGTTTCGGTAAAAGTTTTACCAATTTTAAAACAAAATTTAATGTTGGCTCTTTGTTCGAAGCTCATTTTCGCACCGATAACACAAACATACTGACGCTTTAAACGCAATAACTTCACTTCCAATCGATGTAATGTCATGAAAATCACTGGACAATCGATAAAGATAGCAGATTCTAACGCACCAGTCGACATATAGATAGCGCCACCAAGGAGCGCTGTTTACTTTGGAACGCACCTTGTATATATGTACTGCTGTTGATCCAGGAATTTGTCTGTTAAACAACTGGAAAAAACCCAACAAAATTTTGGAATTGCTAGGGCAAATATCAAGATATATAGTCAATATCCCTGACAGCTTTTTAAACAAGTGAACGAGTTTTTTTTTCACTTCTGGAGAAATTTTAAATAAGCGACGAGCTCGGCTTCTTAGCTCAAATATACATGAGTACATACAAGTATGTATTCTTTAATACAAAATAAAAGTGCTTAATATGGATATATCTATTTTTCGTTTTTACATTTAATGGTTATAACAATTCCGTGTTTCCAAAGGTTCATTTCGTGGCCGTGTCGCGTCGGACCGGTCCATGCCCATCTCTCCCATAAATGGAGGTTATTACGGCATTTCTAAAACGCTAACGAAAATTAAAAAGCATTATTTATGGAACAAGAAAGGAATGCTAAAGTCGAGCAGGCTCAACTCTTAAATACCCTGTACCACCCCACAAAAAAGTAATTAAATTAATTAATTAATTTAATTTAATTAATTAACTAAATTAATTTAATTAATTAACTAAATTAAATATAAAATATTCCATGCATGCATACATACATTTACATTTACATCAGAATCGTGCCTTATGCGTGTTTGTGTACTTGTACATATGTATGTATGTGTGCATTGGGCCTGGTTATATGGCTATAACTTTCTTTCTGATCATTCTATCATAATGAGACTTGGTATACGGTTATATAATAACTAACTTAATGTGACTACCAAATTTTAGTTCAAAATTCCAAGAATTACGGGAGTTATAGAAAATCGTTAATAAGGGGGGGATCAGAAAAAATGAACAAACTCGTCCTTTCTCGGTCTCAGGAGAATCTGTATACCAAGTTTGGTTATTCTAGCTCTTATACTTTCGGAGATCCTTGCGTTCATACAGACAGACAGACGGACAGACAGACGGACAGACGGACATGGCTATATCGACTCGGCTTGTCATGCTGATCAAGAATATATATACTTTGTGGGGTCTACCAAGCCTCCTTCTGTGTGTTCCATGTGCACTCGCACAAAACTAATATACCCTTGTACCCTTTGGGTACAGGGTATAAAAATATGACAAAACATATTAAAGAGTATATACAAAAATGCGATAAATGCCAAAAATCAAAAACAACGAAACATACAAAGACTCCACTAACAATTACTGACACAGCAATTTACGCTTTTGACCGAGTATTGGCTGACACAGTAGGACCATTACCTAGGTCAGAAAAGGGAAACGAATATATTGTTACACTTATTTGCGATTTGACTAAATACTTAGTCGCAGTACCAGTCCCGAATAAAAGCGCAAAAACAATTGCCGAAGCAACATTCAAATCATTCATACTGAAATACAGTCCATACTAATGGGTAGATTTGAAAAATATAACACAACATTTTGAAATGGGACAACTTTAAATTTTGTAAACTAAATAAAAAATAGTTCTTAGGAAATAAGTATATGTGCACTTTTCATTTTTATACCCTGTACCCGTAGGGTAAAAAGGGTATATTAGGTTTGTGCAAAGTATGTAACATGCAGAAGGAAGCATCTCCGACCCCATAAAGTATATATATTCTGAATCAGCATGACGAGAGAAATCGATCTAGACATGTCCGTCCGTCTGTCCGTCCGTCTGTCCGTCCGTCTGGATGAACGCAAGGATCTCAGAAACTATAAAAGCTAGAATAACCAAAGTTAGCATCCAGATTCTCCTAGGTCCGAGTAAGGACGAGTTTATTTTATTTTTTTAATTTTCCCGCCCTTCCCCCGCTACAGAATTTCGTCAATAGCGTCCACATTTCAAATGCTACCTAAACCAAACTTTGCACACATAATTTATATATAATTGTCTACTATTGTTCGAAATTTTATTCGGTCAATTCTAAGAAAAGTTATTAGCAAAACAAATCCTCGCCAGTACAACCCCTAACTGCAGCAACAAGTTCGCTCTTCTTCTTCCTCTTTTTGCTGCTGCTATGGGCGCATATAACTCAGCGACGGAAGTTTACCTGGGTACAGGGTATTACACTGTCGGGCTTGCTCGACTGTAGCGTTCTATCTTGTTTATGCCTCAATTTGTTTAATTCTTGTGATAATTTTTTATTTTTTATCAAAAAAATAAAACTCAAAGAATAATCATTATTTTATAAGTTTTATTTTTTTGCTCATCAATAATGATTATTGGTTAAGTTTTAAAGTAAAACTCAAAATTAATCATGAAATTGTAAGCGAATGAATAAAATTAATAAATCATTATTTTGTAATTTTTTTAATAACACTTATAATGATTACAGTCCCTACTAGTTCCACTTATGACGTGTTTGCTGTGGTGGCCTGAAATTGCGGCAATATTCATGGCAGACATCTGGGCCGTCTAAGTTAAGTTTTTTCTCGTCGGAAAGAATACTATTGCGATATTTATTTATCCAAAATTTGTGCTTTTCAGCAAATGATAAACGAGCCCGACGGAAATGGAAGTAGCTTTAGTACTGGCTCGGGAAGTATATTAAGCGTTAATATTTTCAACCAGAATTTGGTGGACTCGTCTTCTAGTAACATTGAGATCTAAATTACCCCTTATTTCGTCCATGTCCTTTTGAACAACAGGACGCCTAATTTCCCGTTTACAACGTTCGCCAATGTTGGTTGGTTTCCGTAGCTTTTGATCTTACCATAAGAATCAGGGTTCTTAACGAAATGTTTTATTGTGTTTCGGTGTCGATTGACTCTGGCAGCTATATCATCTATTTTTGTACCTTTTCCTCTTATCATTCGCTATTAAATGCATTCCATGTGGCATTTTAGGTAAAATCCACATTTCGTATGAACATTCAATATTTAAAATCAGTGCACTAGTTTGCTTGCGTTCTTTTACATACGTTTTACACTTATTTAATGAAAAGACTTCAACTTTGTAGCACACTAACCGTCCAAAGCACTTTAATCGCTGTTTGCACATATACTTAAAAGTATTACCTAAGTAAATCAAATGACGCCAAACAAATTTATGAAAACGGTACTACAAGGTGGTTTCGAAAGTAAACAGGACTTGTTGTATCGCCCCTGGTGGCGCTATCTATATGTTGACTAGTGCGTTAGAATCTGCTATCTTTGTCGATTGTCCAGTGAGAATTTCATGACATTTCATCGATTGGAAGTGAAGTAATTGCGTTTTAAGTGTCGGTATGTGTGTGTTATCGGTGCGAAAATGAGCTTCGAACAAAGAGCCAACATTAAATTTTGTTTTAAAATTGGTAGAACTTTTACCGAAACGTTTCAATTGATGGAACAAGCTTATGGCGATGATTGCCTATCCCGTAGTAGAGTGCACGAGTGGTTTCAACGTTTTCAAAGTGGTCGTGAGGACATAAATGACGATCAACATGTGGGCCAATCAAAATTCGTGATCACCAAAAATTCCATCAACCAACCTGTGCGTGAATTCATCAAAAATCAGGCGAAATCATCATTGAAATGGAATTGAACATCTCCAAAACATCGATTTATCGCATTTTGACCGAACATTTGGGCTTACGAAAAATGTGTGCACGGTTTGTTCCGCACAAATTGACTGACGACCAAAAATTGCTCAGACGATCGACTCTTGTGACCGATTATTTGACCAAAAATCACATTTTAACCATTAACCACTCGCCGTATTCACCTGATATGGAACCGTGCGACTTCTACCTTTTCGGAAAAATGCATTTGCCCATGAAAGGAAAGCGTTATGCAGACGTAGAGGCCATTCAAAAGGCTTGCACCGACATACTGGCGGCCATACCGGCCAACGAGCTAAAACATTCGTTCGACGTGCTTTTGGATCGTGCAAAAAGCTGTATTTTGAATAAAATAAATTGATTTTGCCGAAAAAACCATTTGTTCTGTTTTTTTTTTTAAAGTCCCGTTTACTTTGGAAACAATTGCTTGTATAACCAATTGCTATGTAAATGTGCAGTTATACACCCTTTACGTGAGTTCGAATACCGAGAGATGTAAAAACAAACAACTTTTTTTTTAAATTTTCTTAATTTATTAAATTTCTATAATTATTTTAAGAATACTTGTATGTACACAGTATTTCAAAGTCGGGGCACCCGACTTTAGCTTCCTTACTTGTTTTTATATTGAATTTAAT